TCCTATGGAGCAATGAAGGCGCTCCAGGAGATTTATGGGGTGGATGTGCCGAGAGCATTGAGGGTGGCCGTGGGCACGATGGACAAACCTGACCCCTTTCCCTGGTCTTGAGCACAGTCCAGTAAAGAAGCGCTCCTGCGCATGTCACGCTGCAATGAATGGTTCGTTCCAATGGGGCTTGCGCGGGAGAACCTCCCGGGGACAATTACATTCCTGTTACTGGCGGGGTGGGGAGAGGAAGGGATTTGGCCCCTCCGCTTCAAGCCATCCAGTCGTCCCGCCTGAGCACCAGAGACCAGCGGTAATGCCTCCCTATACCCCGATGAGGCACTCTCCCGCCCTCCTCCACCCTAAAGCAAAGAGCCGCGGCGCTTCTGCCGGCTGCCCCCCAGTCCAGACCAAGCGGAGGAAGGGGCGGACCGGCCCGAGCCACGCGTTCTCCGCCTGGGGGTCGCGACTGGGAACGCGTCGGAGCACGCGGCTGGGAGGTGGCGTCCCCGCCAGCCAGACCCGACCCGGGCTGCCCACCCCCGCTCTTCGTTTCGGCACCGCTCGCCTTACCTTGGTGGCGCCCGGAGCCGGGCCGGGCTTTGGCGCGGGGTGGGCTGCCGGCTGCTTGCTATTAATACGCCCGGTCCGAAACTGGAGCCCTCCTGGCCCCCCGCCGCGGCCTCCGGGGACCAGCTGCACTGCCGGTGGAAGAAGGGCTGACACCCGATCCCTCACTCCCTCCCCCGGAGAGGGGAGGAGGAGGCGGGCGGAGAGGCAAGGGCGGGCTGGCCCTCACTCCCAGCTGGGGGGGGCGGCGGCGGCGGCAGCTTCGTTGAGACTGTTCGGTTGCCTTTGCCCCCCCGCCCCGCCCCGCCCGCGGAGCCGTCGGGATCCTCACGCCCACCTTGCGGACCCCGGGCCGGCGGTGGCAGTCCCAAACTTCCAAGGAAGAGAAGAAGAAGAGGTTGGATTTATACCCCGCCCTTCACTTGGAGTCTCAGAGCGGCTTACACCCGCCCTCCCCTGCACAGCAACGCCCAGGGCATGTTACAATAATGCATATAAAACAATAAGATTAATTAAATATTGTAATGTATTGAAATGATTACATGAATCACCTCATAGGACTCCCGTGTTAAGCTTCGAGCCAGACCAGGGCTCCTCTGAGCGAACTTCCTATTGGTCGCTTCGTAACAGCGACCAATCAGAACGATACCATTCCCTAGGAGGGAAAGACTCCCATTGGTCTTTATTCTAGCAATCTCATTGGTTGTTATTTGTAAATAGGCGTGGCTACATTAGCCCGGTTATGTTTAAAAGGAGCATAAGCTCCCACTGTTTTCTGTTCTGGTTTCTTACTGAGTTAGTGCTTGCTCGTTACTTCCAATAAAGCTGAATCACTTGCTGAATCACTGTACGAGTCCTTTGTTAGCGCGATCTAACAATTGGCGACGAGGATGGGATGTTAGAGCAGGTAGGCAGCCCTGCGGACATCCACACTTCGGACTCGGAAGAAAGCGGGCAGAGCACAGCAGCCGATCCGGCGGAGGCGCCACCAGCTCCGGTGCCCAAGTCTCCCCCGATGGCTGGAAGCCAGAAGTTCGAGTGCTTCGAACCCTCCTCAGAAGACTGGGACTCCTACCTGTCCAGGTTCGAGTTCCATCTGGAGACCCACGACATCACCGATGAGGCGAAGAAACGAGCATGCCTCCTGAGTTCCTGCGGGAAGGGGACCTTCGACATAGCCAGGTCGTTGGTGGCCCCAACTGATATAAAGACTGTCACCTACGCTGACATCACGGAGAAGCTTAAGGCTCACTATTCTCCACAACCGTCGGAGATCGCCTGCCGGCACGCTTTTTACAAGCGGAACCAGGCCGGAGGCGAGACCATCGCAGATTTCGTGGCGGCCCTTCGCAAAGCCGCACGGCCATGTAATTTCCACAACGTGGAGGAAGCCCTCAGAGACCGTCTCGTCTGCGGTCTCAAAGATGAAAGGCTGCAACAGAGGCTGTTCGCCCGCACCACCCTGACCTGGGCAGTGGCCTACGAAGAGGCCGTGGCCGCGGAAGCAGCGGAGAAGTCCACGAAGGAGGTCCGCCAGCGGGTGGCAGAGCCCAGTATACACGCTCAACGAGACAGCGAGGGCGAAGACGCGGATGATGACGTCAACGCGGTTCGAGGCAAGCGGACCCCAGCGAAGACTACCAACGTCAAGCCTTGCTCCGGTTGTGGCGGGAAGCACCAGCGCGGCTCCTGTTGGGCTCGTGATGTCGACTGCAGAGCGTGTGGGCGGCGTGGTCATCTGGCCAGAGTCTGCAGATCAGCGAAGAAGGATCCCTCAACTAACAACCGGTCAGCGCAGAGGGGCACTCCAGTCAGCACCCAAGGCAAGACCCGTTCCTCAGCATCGGAAGCAAGCTGCCAGTTGACGGCGACCTTGTCGAGCGCATCGGCCGTAAATCGCACCAGCAGCCAGGGCAAGATCACCGTGACTCCACTCCTCGACGGCCGACCCTGTACAATGGAGGTGGACTCAGGATCGTCCGTGACGGTGATTTCTGCCGCGTCCTGGCGCCAGTTGTTCCCGAACCGAAGCCGGCGGCGGCTCCAGCCTGCGGGAACCAGAGTGTCCGACTTCCAGGGCAACCGAATTCCCTTGGCCGGACGGGACTCTGTTACTGTTGAGTATAAGGGGAAATGTGTTAAACTGTCATTCCTGATTGCAGAGGGAGACCGGGTTAACCTGCTAGGGTTAGATTGGTTTGAGCCATTGGGCATCGGTATTTCTGGGATTAACAGGATGTCTGAAAATAAATGGGGCATGCTGTACGACCTGTTCCCTGATGTATTTGCCGAAGGGTTGGGAAGGTACAAGGGCCCCCCGGTTGCGTTTGACTTAGATCCGTCAGTCAAACCTATTAGGTTGAAGTATCGGAAAGTACCTGTGTCTCTCAAACATAAGGTGGAAAAAGAGATTGACAAACTAGTTGAGCAAGGGGTTTTAGAGCCAGTACCATACAGCAAATGGGAGACCCCGATCGTAACCCCTGTCAAATCAGATGGGTCCATACGACTATGCGCCGATTACAAATGTACGATTAACAAGGCGCTGCAGCAACATTCGTACCCGGTCCCGGTAATAAGCCACATTTTGGCTTCCCTGGGGGGTGGCAAGATTTTCGCCAAATTTGACCTGGCCCAGGCATACCAGCAGTTGCCTGTCACCCCGGAGGCTGCCGAGGCCCAAACAATTGTAACCCACCAAGGGGCTTTTAAAGTGAACAGGCTGCAATTCGGGGTCAACGTAGCACCTGGGATTTTTCAGGGCCTCATGGAACGTCTACTAAGGGGGGTACCTGGCACAGTGCCCTATTTTGACGACGTGCTGATTGCGGGCGGGTCTGAACAGGAACTACTGGACCGGGTTAAAGAGGTCCTCAGGCGTTTTCAAAATGCCGGCCTCAGAGTTAAGCGCTCAAAATGCACGCTCGGGGTGGAAAGTGTGGACTTCCTGGGGTTTCGCATTGACGCAGAGGGAGTCCACCCCACGGATGAGAAGGTATCTGCAATCCAAAACGCCCCCAGGCCGGTGAGTAAGAAGGAGCTCCAATCCTTTTTAGGACTCCTGAATTTTTATCATGCGTTTTTACCGCATAAGGCATCAGTGGCGGCCCCTTTGCACGCGCTTTTGCACAAGGAGGCAAAATGGAAGTGGGGGCAGGCCGAGGAAAAGGCTTTTGTGGGAGTCAAGGAGCTGCTGACATCTAATGCCGTACTCACGCATTATGATGAACACAAGCTCCTGGTGTTAGCTGCTGACGCTTCACCGTTTGGAGTAGGCGCAGTTTTAAGCCATCTGATGCCTGATGGGAGCGAAGCGCCTATCGCTTTTTATTCTAGATCACTATCTGCGGCAGAGCGGAACTATGCCCAGATAGACAAGGAGGGTCTGGCGTTGGTAGCGGCTGTCAAAAAGTTCCATGATTTTATTTTTGGCAGACGATTTTTGCTGGTCACTGACCACAAGCCGCTACTGGGGATTTTTGCGCCCGATAAGCAATTGCCAAACATCATGTCCCCACGCATGCTTAGATGGGCGATATTTTTGCAGGCTTATGATTTTGACTTAGAGCACCGGCCTGGGAAAGCGATTGGGCATGCGGATGCCCTCAGCCGGTGCCCGGTGCCGGACATTGGCGCAGACCCTGCCCCCGCCTGTGAGGTCTTGGCAATTGAGGAGCTTCCTCGACCCCCGGTATCATCCAGGGACATTGCAGCACACACGGCCAAGGATAGCGTGCTGTCCCGAGTATTAAACTGGGTTTGGAGGGGGTGGCCGGTTGGAAGCGTTGAACCGGAGTTCGGCCCTTACAAAAGCCGTCAAAATGAACTATCCATTTCTAAGGGCTGTGTATTATGGGGGAACAGGGTGGTGGTTCCTGACAAACTCAGGACGAGAGTGTTAGAGTCGCTGCACGAGGGTCACCCCGGTATGGTACACACCAAAGCGTTGGCCAGAGGGTATGTCTGGTGGCCGGGGCTGGACAAAGAGATCGAAGAATGGGTACGAGGGTGTCCCAAATGCCAGCAAGTCAGACCCGATCCCCCACAAGCTACACCCCAAGGCTGGGAGTCATCTGGTAAACCCTGGGCCAGATTGCATATAGATTTTGCTGGCCCTCTCCAAGGGCAAATGTTCCTAATTGTGGTGGACGCTATGTCCAAATGGCTGGAGGTCGTGCATATGAAATCGACCACATCACTTGCTGTGATCCATGCGCTCCGCCGACTTTTTGCCACCCACGGGTTGCCTGACGTCATCGTCAGTGACAACGGGCCTCAATTTGTGTCTGAGGAATTTAGGCTCTTCCTCACGAGTAATGGCATACGCCAAATGACTTCGGCCCCTTTCCATCCGGCATCTAATGGCCAAGCCGAACGGATGGTCAGGACGGCCAAAGAGGCCCTGGGTAAAATGGACGAAGGGGACTGGAGCCAGAGGCTGGGCTCCTTTCTTTTGCTGCAGCACACCACCCCCTGTAGTGCTACAGGCCGTAGTCCGGCCGAATTGTTAATGGGGCGGAGACTCACGACCCGTTTGAACCGAATGCACCCAGACCTCACTGAAGAGCAATCCGAGCGTACCACGGCGCAACCGAAGGTGCGCATGTTTGAAAAAGGGGACAAGGTTTTCGCACGAAATTATGCAAACGGGCACTTATGGCTTCCTGGGGTTATATCCGACTCTGTGGGTACTCGAATGTATGTGGTGCAGTTAGCTGACGGTCGAATATGGCGGCGCCACATAGATCAGTTAAGGAGACGTTGGGCTAGGGACAGCGCTGACTCTCCGACGGCTGAATCCCCTGATGTCGAGTGGACACCCCCAGAGCAGGCGGTGAGTACCGAAAGGCCCGGTACTGTCCCCGAGTCAGGGCAGAACCCTGTGTGCGGGGCTGAAATCCCAGTCGAGTCTGTGCCTGATCCAGGCTGTAGTGAACCCCACTCTGACCCACAACCTTGTCTGCCCGTGGAGCCTGCACCGCTCCGCAGGTCCCAGCGTTCGCGGCAAATGCCGACTTATCTGAAGGACTATGAGTGTAAATACTGTTAGAATAACTGATGTACAAAGGTTGATTGCATGTATGTAAATAATAAAACAATTGGGATGATGGCTTAACTTAGGGGGGAGGAATTGTAATGTATTGAAATGATTACATGAATCACCTCATAGGACTCCCAT